AAAAAATTAATAATTAACGTCAAAATATAAAATACCAAAGCGAAAAGTTTTGAGTGGATAGTTCGCATAGTATACTAAATAGAGAACACAATCGTTTTAACATAAAATTTTAGCAAATTTATTTGTAACTATTATTATATACAAAAAAAAAATTTAAAAATAAAAAAAAAATGAATATAAATTTAAAATGGCATGTCTATTTTCGTTTTCTTAAATTATATTTATGCACAACTTCTTTTACTTCAGTTTGTTTTGTGCGTATAATTCTTTTCTCGTTGCTTTTATCAACATCATTTTTATTGCTGTCTTCATTGTCAACACTTGCACTCATCATTTTTTTGCCCTTTGGTTGAGGGTTTGACAAAGTTTGACTAGATTCTGTAACAACTCTTGATTCATTGTCATTAATTACAATATTATTATTATTAGTAACATCAGCAATAACGACTTGAGACTCATTGATATTAACATCAGATGTATCAACAGTAGCAGCTTGGGCCACTTTGGTTTTAAACATACGCATTCTTTTATGTTTGTAATAAGACGTTTTTTCTTTGCCTTTTAAAATAAATTAATAAAAATAAATATACTAGCCAATAATGATATATTGTTTATTTAAAATATCATTTATTACCTTCCAATACTCTAAATTTGGGAATTACGTTATCAAAAAAGACCCCATCTTCTATCATAGCTTTTACGACTTGTTCCGCATATGGATCAACAAGTTCAATTATTCCTGATTTTGTTTTGGGATTGTAAGTGACATATTTAATTCTTGCATAGTTTCTTTCCATATAAAGCTTTGTTTTTTTTTTGGAAATAAAAAAAATTGTTTTAAAATGATTGGCTTTTGTCATTGATTTGGTAAGCATTTCCAGAGTAATGATAAATTAATAATAATTACCCTGATTTTAGCATAATCTGCATTTATACCTGCACCAACAAAATGAATTAATTTATTACTAATATAATTATCATAATCATCATGAGCGCTTCCATTGCTATAACTATTATAATTATAGTGATCTCTAGATTTTATATTGGTAAAATCAAAGCCTTGTCCATTCCATTTAATATAATCAGGTCTATATAGTTCATAGAAATATAAAATTAAATGAATTTATTATTGTATCAAACAATCAATTATTTAACATACTGGACGTTCATCATATGAAGTCTAGCACGGTGAAAATTCAAATTCATCTTTGATACACGTTTCGCTTCTTCATGAGATTCGAAATATATGTCAAACGCGCTCTAATGTTAAAATTGAAAATTAATTTACCAAATAAATATATACAAACATACGTAAATATTTATATATTTACCAAAAATCTTTTGGTTACTGGCTCATACCTAGCAACAATTTCCTCAACCGTACCATGTTTTGAGAAAAAAGCGCGGATTTCTTCTGTGAGTTTTTTTGTCAATCTGTCACAGAACCCAAGCTAAAAAAAATTTTTTTAATACCACAAAATTATAATTTTTATAAATCAATCAAGTTTAATCGTACATACGACGAAGACAGATCTTGAGGGTTCAGTAATAGTAACTGTAGTAAGAGTAGCTACAGAATTGGAAGTGTAAGTAACTGTTTAATATTAAAATATTTATAATTTATAACGAACAAATAAAATATTATATACTAAATTGTAGTTTAAGAGTATATATATAATAATATGTTTCCACTGATAGTATAACTTACCTGAAGATGACATTTTTTATAGTTTTAAATTATTTCTTTAAATGATTTTGATCTTGAAAAAAAATTTTGGTGATGGGAAGAAATAAATGGTGAATGATCGGCATAAACGTGTTAATACGTGTCAAACCCAAAAAGTAGGGGATCGAAAAGTAAGTCCGATTGATTGTATTGTTTACGCGTACGTATATACACAAAGATTTCTCCGAATTAAAATTTTCATTTTCTGTTATTATTGTATATGCTCTTGAAAAAAAAAAAAATGTTTTCATTCATTACAAGGAAAAACCTCTTTTTTTTTTTAAAGAATTTCCCATAGATCCATCCATCAAAATCAAAATCTTTAGAGTTATTAATTTTGAGCATATATTGTTCTTGTCAATTTTCAAAACTTCTTTTTCTTTATCACACATCTCCATCAAAAAATAATAATAATGTTGTCGTTGCTGCTAATTTAAATTCATCAATTGAGTGAGTCAAGTGTACAGGATTAGTTGCAAATGTTCGAATATATATTATATTCGAAAGCATTAATTGGTGTTGAAGTTGGAGCTACAGACTAGAAAGAAGCTTTTAGATCATAACGAAAGTAATAATACCGTAGTAATCACAGCGGTCATATATAAAATGAAAAACTGTATGAAATAAACTTCCATATTAATATATAACTATCGTAGTATTTTTGCTAATAATTTTATTATTAAAATTTTATTATTATTATTATTCCTATTATTATTAAACATGTAGTAAACAATTAATTCTATTTTTTTTTTTTTCAATCCATCCAATACGATAATTAATAATTAAGACTCATCAATAAGTGCGAGAATCATCCTAATTATTATAATAAAATATTAATAATGATATTAATAATGATATTAATAATGATATTAATAATGATATTAATAATGATATTAATAATGATATTAATAATGATAATTAGAAATTTTCTTTTCTACTACATATATTTTACCTGTAAAGATAGTAAAAAAATGTAATCATGTAAAATGCAAGTTTAATAAAACATAAATTCTTATGTTGAGTTAACGTTCTAAAAATATCCGTTGGATCATACATATGACGATTATTTGTAATTCTAATTTATTTTGATTTCATAAAAAAAAAAAAATTTTTAGAAATAATTTCAAAAAAAAATAATCAAATATAATAATAAATAAATTCATACATATTTGCATTATATGCTACTAATGGAAGGTTAATTAATGCAGCAAGCCAACTTCCATTAATTAAAAATAAAAAAAATAGAAATGCATGAACCATATTCTCTGGAAGTACAAACTATTTATATATATAAAACAAAATAAAAAACAAAAGTTAATAACAATAATAATAATTAATTAAAAAATCAAAACAATTAATTTTCTTTTCTTTTTCCCTACTTGGTTCAATTTGTTACAAAGATCAATTGGATTAATGTAATCGCATTCAAGATCTGAAAATAAGATGCTCTAATTAATTGGTTAATTGAATGTTAAAGATAATAATTGATAATGAGATTTGCTTCATAATAAAAATAGATAATTTGTTAAAGGATACAAAGAAAACCATCATAAATAATAAACCTGCTGCTAATATAATAGCAAAAAGAAACAGTAAAACTTCTCCTGGCATATTTAATTGAATAACTAAATATAAATATATATATAGATCACCACCTACTTTTAAAATTCAATACATTATTTAATAAAAATTAGAAATTAGAAAATAATAATAGCAATAATAATAATATTTAAATGTAGTATATACAATATAATAATAATATAATATAATATAATATAATATAATATATAATATAATATAATATAATATAATATATATTAAACCTTTAAAATTACATTTTATTAGAAGAGATTTTTCTTTTTTAAAATTTACCTTCTAATTGATATAAATGCGTGGTAAATTTTGATTGGCCTGTTTTCATATAGCAGGGAATCATGTGACTAATTAAATAACGACTTTAGTATTGTTAAAAATTATGTAAATGACAGGTTCTTCTGCATTATTGTATAATAATTATAATAATTACATCACATTAAAAAATCGTTAATTATAGAATAGAATCACGAAACAGAAAGGCATTTTAATATGGAAAAGCGCGTAGAAATTTATGGAATAGGAGAGATTGAGAGAGATGCTCGTTTAATCATTACGTACTCGCAGTCCATTGACAGATACCCAGGCCAACGAATTCCATTACAAGGACGAGATAGTAAACCCTTTACTGGTTTAAATTTTCTATCAGTTCACTATATCGTAACGGAACTAACATACCCATTGAAGAATGAGTGTGTAGTTTGATGATATTGAAAATAATATGTGGCTTGAGACGTAAATGTTTACTGCCGAACATTTTTTTTTTGTCATTCTACCTCAACTCGCAGATCATTTATCAACCATATTAATATTGGATTTATTTATATCATTTTCTAAATTTTATAATCAAAAATTAAAAACAAATAATTTTAAATCAGCATTATTTGTTATCATTAAATATTTCTAATGAGTTTTTTGAAAGATTGTGTCATCTATCACTTAAAATATTTTTGTAATGTGAAAAGCTTCATTCTACATCCATCCCAGATATTGGAAGCCATTTATACTCTAAAGCAATCCTAGAAGGTAATGGTAAGGTTTATTGTTTATCAGTCCAATATTTATTTAATCTAACTTTTCACAATAAATACTTCACTTAATGATTAATTAATCTTCTGGATTTATAAATTCCTTGATATATGAATGTAACAAAATATTTTTTTGAGATGATAAATTTTGGATTAAAGCATTGAATTTCCTTAAAAAGAGGTAAATTAAGGAGATCAAAACTAGATCAGATCAGATCTTGAACTGGTAGTTAATTAATTATACATGTACCTAATTACCATAAATACATAATTTGTAATTATTGTCTTTAAAAATGTAATTATGAAATTAATTACAGGTGATGAAACTAATTATGGATGGTGAAATTATTGCAATTAGTTTTTTTTGTTTTGTTGGAAATTTTAAAAAAAATTTCTTTTGTCATGTTATAATTAATTTATTTTTATTATACATAATAATAATATTTGGATTTTGGATCAGATTTCAAATTCTGAAGATAATAAAATTGAGTGAGATTATTAATTATTATTTAATTTGAAAACATAAATAACTTAATGGTTAATTAAATATTTCTTTTTTTAGGGATAATAGTGATTCAAAATTATAAAGAGCGCACACAAATAAATTTTTTTTTTTAATTTTACCATTCATAATTTTTTATACAGAATCAACAATGTCGAACCCAAACATTTATGTAGAAATTGCTCGTCTCATTCTTACTGCTGAGGCAAGGACTTTTCTTCGTAATTATTTCACGAATAACCATGAGAAAAAAAGCGAAGCGGTCGAAGTCCTTTCTACTTGTGAAACTGATCAAGAGAAAATTGATTTCTTAGAAAGCTTTTTAGAATCTGGTGGAGGGAAAGGTAATGAACAAATTGCGTAAAAAAAAATTATCTTTTGTTAATATTTCAAAATGTTCACTGTCCTCTATTAAATTTCTCTATCACTAACATCTTGTCTTTCATTTTATTGCTTTTTCTTAACGCTCCCTTATTCTTTAATAGGATTTATTACAGAAAGAGAATTGTATCAATTAAACCTTCTCCTTCCTAAAGCTTATGAAATATCAACTAAGAGCACAGTAAAATCTGCTACGCGAAAAGTACCTAATCTTCCATTGTTACAATGGGACACTTTTCTTAATGATGCATTAGTAGCTTCATCATCAATTAATAATACAGATCCTAAGTTTTACATTCCCGAAATTTTTCGACTGAGTGTATCCTCTGAAGATACAACAGTTGATCAATTTTTGCGAACAATGAATGAAATCAACAACCAAAGATTAAGGCAACTACCGAAGCCAGAAAGGTGGGCCAAACGAGATCAATGTTGTGTGACATTAGGTGAACCAGATGCTATACGTTTTTGTGCCGATAATAAGGAGAAACTAGAAGATAGGAACGACACTGAGATAGTTGCTGTGGTTGAAGTAAAACCGGAACAGCTTATGGTTACTTTAATAGCAGGGACTGAAATAACTGATAGTAGACAGGTCAAGCTTACAGATGAAAGAGATGATTTGGTTGTACTTTATAGCTCTGCAGTTGAAGCGATAGATTATCAAACAGATGATTACACTAATCATGAAAAGATAAAGAGAATCATTCGTCAAGTCTTTGGATATATGGTGATTAATAAGTTAAGATATGGCATGATAACAACATATGCTAGAACGTGGTTTTTAAAATGTGATGATGCAAATAATCTCTACATATCCCCTATGATTCCTATTGATCAACAACACACAGAATCTCAGGCTTCATTTTTAGAATGTATGCATTACTTTGAAGATATTTCTGGAAATAACCCAACCATTGACTCTTCACAATCACCACTGATGACTGATGGTGATGATGTTTCGGACACTTCAGACAATTCAGATCAGCCATCAGATAATGATAAAGACGATTATTATAAGCCATCTAAACATCAAAAAACTATTGAGTCAAAAGATACTAGTACTTGGAATACTCAAAAAATAAACACTCGGGGTGCAAAAAAAGCTAATATGGAAAAATTCAATTGTAAAAGTAATGATGAACTTCTTGTAAACATGAAAAACTATGATTATGAACTATTCTACTTTGGCAAGATGTTGGGATTTGGTCGATCCGGAAATGTTATTGAAGCAAGACTTTTTGAAAAATCAGGTGCTCTAAAGATGATTGGCTTATATAAAGATGATGTTAAGCTAGAAGAAATGCTTAATGAAATAAAGATTTATGACATAATTCTAAAGAGAATTCAAGGAATCTATATACCAAGGCTCCTAGAATTTGGGGTTCTCCATGAGGCATTTGTTTTCATGCTTACATCATTTGCAGGAGAGTCATTTGCAAGTAAAAGAAGAAAAATCACAGAAGTAGAAAAGCAATTAGCCATAAACAGTTTACTAGCAATACATGCATTAGATGTGAAACATGGGGATATTAGATTAGAGAACATAATGGTGAGCAGGAACTCATTAACAGGACATTCTTGTGTCTGGTGGATTGATTTCGCGTGGAGCAAAATTACAGATAATGCAGAAGTTCTGAAGATGGAGTTATCTGAATTGAAACACTTGCTTGGCACGTGTTAAAGTTATTAAGATTCACCTTAATTAAGATTGCATTAAAATCACCATTATCTTATTATCTTCTAGGAAACAGAGAATGGGAAAAACTAAAAATAAATATGTATAATGGGCGAATTTGTTTTTTTTTGATTATGCTAGTAATAATCATGTAGTTGGCTGTATTTTTCTGCTGTATTTTTTTGTCAATCAATATTAATATTCATCACTTCTGCTGCATGTCACCGAAATATATTTTTTGGTGACCTGCCATATTTTTTTTTAATATGTAAAATTAGGATATTGATGGTGCTATTTGTGGTGGAAATTCTTCTTGGCCCAATAAGATGTTTTTAATATTTGATGCATATACTTCTGATGATTTCCAATTGTATTCTTCATCAGAAAAAGTTATGAATTTTTCCAATATTTAATGAAAAATCCAAAATTTTACATGGCTCATAAATCAATTTTCCATCATCATTAATTGCTTTTGGTTCTTTTTTAGGGTCAATATTTGTCAATAGTCCAATTAATTGGTTGAATTGATATCTTTGTTAATTAATACAGTGTCTTTTTTTATATATTGTTTTTTAGAGGATTTAGCAACCTAAAAAGATAATAAAAATAAAAATTCATTAAAATCGTAAAAAATAATTTATGTAAATGATAATTACTGATTTTTTTGGCTTTTTCTTTATTATTCTCTTTGTTCCTTTCAAATTGTCCATTTCATCATCATTGCCACTTTTTATTGTCGAATCTGAATTATCATCACTTATAATTATTATCCCGTTTTTCACTTGATCAGAATATTTTTTTCCCGTCATTAATTACCCACTCTAGTTCTTTTTTTTTTTTTTTTTTTTGTCTGCATGTCTATTTAATTACTTCATGTTGTAATTTAGATCTTAACCATTATGCTGAAATAGCATCTGTAATTACTCAACCATTATCTCACATTCCTAATTTACAAGAATTACAAAATATTCTTTAGCAACAACCTGTGGTGCCTATTCCTATTGATCATGATGTATACCAAATCATAAAACCGAGGATTTTGAATATTGAGGAATCATTTATTTCATCAAAAACAAGTGGTTATAATGCTGGAAAGTTGAGTAGGGCAATTGCTTCTGCTTTTGAAGTGGACTTTTCTGGTGGAACAGAAATGTTCCAAACTGGAATAATAGATCATTGTGTGGATGATATGCTGACAGCTGTGAGGGCTTATTCATTAGTAGGGTTAATCCAAGATCACAACTGCTCTGACTTCACAACATCAGTAAAAGGGAATTTGCGTCCTGATTATTTAGCATGGTACAAATCAGTATTGATTATCAGAGGTGAAGATAAGAAAAATTACAAGGACATTTTGAATGCAAGAAATGAACTTACAAATAAAATGAACATGTGGAGTCCATTTCTCTATGGACAACTTCTGTATCTTTTTGGATATGCTTTTGCAGCTGGACAGATACAATTCTTTGCACTTCATCCACAGGAAGGGTATGGTACATCAAGACATAAATTACAATCTACTGCAATATCTGATTCTTTACCACTTAATGATGCAGTTGGTGTTTATAAGGTTTGAAATATTTGAACATAAAATCAAGGTTAATTAATGCATACTTAAATATATATATATATATATATTTATTTTTTTCTTGTATCTGATAGGCTATATTATGTGTAATTAACATTATTCGTATCATTCATTCATTGGAATCACTTTTTCCCACACAAACTATCAAAGTTGGTCACATTGAACATCATTATTATGGTGATTCTTGCATTGGAGAAGTTCAAGTGTTTGATACATATGTCACAAAATCTATTTGTGACTTTAAACAATACAAATTTACAACAAGTGATGTTCTCAAAAAGATATACAGTAAGACAAAATATGTACACAATCTTATTCATGCTAGGGGAGAACCAAAGTTTGAGCATAATAGATATAAAGTTGAATTAGAACCAGTGGGTCTTCCTGTAAAACCAAAAACAGAAGGAGAGTTAAAAGTAGCCATTAAATGCATCCTTCTTGGTCTTAAATTAGAAATTGTACATCGTGATATTAGATGGGAAAATGTTATTCAGATTTCAGGAACTGATTGGTGTCTAATTGACTTTGAACATTCAGGCAAAGCTGGGAAAGAACCAGATTTTCACCTTGAATGGTGGGCACCAGAAATAATTGATGAAAAACAGAAATATCATAAATCAGCAGATGTTTATTTAGTTGGTAGATTAATTGATACTTGCAATATTACTTTAAGTGAAAGTGCTATTGAATTTAGGGATAGGCTGATAGATGTAAATCCAGAACAGCACTACACAACTGAGATGGCATTGAATGTGCTATGGTAATAAGATTGGATATTTTTTAGAAAGTAATTCATATATATGACTGTTTTCTAATCCGATTTACCAATTACTTTTATATATTGATAATTAATACAAAGTTTCTTCTTTGGTTTGAAATTTGAACATTTTGTCATAGCATTAAATTATAGTTTCTATGTTGTAAATATAAATATAATATAATAAATTGTGAATTTTCTTACTTCAAGATTGTAGATAATTACATTAAGACAAATTAACAAATTTTTATTAAATACTTATCTAATTTCATTAAATTAATTCACTAGTTGTTTTTGATTGAAAAAATGTTGCTTCTAAGATTGTAATTGTAAGATCAATTTATTTTAATAAATTAGAATGAAAAAGTAACAATGTAAAAATATAAATTATTATTTTAAAATGTTATAATTTTGATAAAATTTAAAATTTTCAAAAATTTACAAAGTGAACATAAAATTATATATATAGGGATAAGTGTATATATATGAAAAGTAATAAATATAATGGTTCTAATGAATATCAAAAAGCAATTGATTTTTTAGAAAAAGGTTGTAATTGTGGTTGCTCTTCAAGAATTCCCAAGGAAGAATTTGCAGAATTAAGGGAATCTTTTCAAGCACTTTCCAAGTCTGAACAAGACATATTTTTAATGGCCCAACTTAAAGCAATGGATGGTGGATTAACAAGCACTAGCAGACACCTTAAAAAGAAAACCAGAACTAATAAAAGAACTTTTTACCATTGGGATCACAATACACTTCCTTGTCAAGAAACTTATCTTAATATGTTGGGAATTGGTAGAACTTATTTTGAAAACATTAGAAATCACCTGATAAACAATGGTCTTTTGCCAAGAATTCATGGTAATATTAAAAGGATGCCTCAATGGAAAACTAAAATGGTAATTGATAAAAA